ATTACTTTCAGGTTGGTAAAACTGTCAAATATTTTTAGACCATCTCAGCTTATAGTAAATTATTCCATTTCAGTGTTACAGACTTTTTTCTGGATTCATGATCCAATTTTATTTCTGAAATAATTGACTTTTTAAGTCTCAGGAGATAGCTATGAGGGTCTTAACGAAATTTTAGGTACTGTTAAATTTGAGTAAAAACATATTCTTTTTTTTTTTTAACATCGTTATTGGAGTATAATTGGTTTACAATGGTATGTTAGTTTTTGCTTTATAACAAAGTGAATCAGCTATACATATACATATATCCCCGTATCTCTTTCCTCTTGCATCTCCCTCCGTCCCACCCTCCCTATCCCACCCCTCTAGGTGGTCGCAAAGCACTGAGCTGATCTCCCTGTGCTATGCGGCTGCTTCCCGCTAGCTATCAGTTTTGCATTTGGTAGTGTATATACGTCCATGCCACTCTCTCAGTTTGTCCCATCTTACCCTTCCTCCTCCCCGTGTCCTCAAGTCCGTTCTTTAGTAGGTCTGCGTCTTTATTCTCGTCCTGCCCCTAAAAACATATTCTTAAGGACTATACTGATTCCACATTTAGTCTCGTCAATACTGCACAAAATATTGGTACTTATAATTTTTCTTTTATTGTGGTAAAATATACATAATAAAAAATTTACCACTTTAACTTTGCACCCATAAGTATGGCTATTTAAAAAAAAAGGAAGGACTTCCCTGGTGGCACAGTGGATAAGAATCCGCCTGCCAATGCAGGGGACACGGGTTCGAGCCCTAGTCTGGGAAGATCCCATGTGCCGCAGAGCAACTAAGCCCGTGTGCCACAACTACTAAGCCTGTGCTCTAGAGCCCACGAGCCACAACTACTGAGCCTGCGTGCCACAACTACTGAAGCCTGCACACTTAGAGCCTGTGCTCCACAACAAGAAAAGCCAGCGCACCGCAACAAAGAGTAGCCCCCGCTTGCCACAAGTAGAGAAAAGCCCACGTGCAGCAATGAAGACCCAATGTAGCCAAAAATAAATAAATAAAATTTTTTTTTAAAAAAAAAAAGAGAAATAATAAATGGTGAGGATGTGGAAAACTTGGAACCTTTATATCTGATGAGAGTGTAAAATGGTACAGCTGCTGTAGAAAACAGTATTATGATTTCTCAAAAAATTAAACATAGAATTACCATATGATTTAGAAATTCCACTTCTGGGTATACATCCCAAAGAAATGGACACAGAGACTCAAACAGGTATTTGTATACCCATGTTCACTGCAGCATTATTCATAAAGCTAAATGGTAGAAGCAACCTAAATGTCCATCAATGGATGAATGGATAAAGAAGATGTGATATATACATACAATGGAATATTATTCAGCCTTAAAAGGGAAAGAAATTTTGACACATGTGAAATTATGGATAAACTTAGAAGACATTATGCTACGTGAAATAAGTCAGTCACAAAAGGACAACTGCTATATGGATTCTACTTACATGAGGTTCTTAGATTAGTAAAATTTACAGAGACAGAGAGTAGAATGATGTATGCCAGGGGCTGGGGCTGGGGGGATGGGGAGTTAGTGTTTGATGGGTACAGAGTTTCAGCTGGGAAAGATGAAAAAGCTCTGGAGATGTATGGTGGCGATGGCTGCACAACAATGTGAATACACTTAACGCCACAGAACTCTATGCTTAAAAATGTTCTAGGGATTTTGCTCAAATTATTACAAACATTTTATATATTTTATTTGCATTAAAATGCAAATAATGATATTGCTTTATTGTTTTCTTAACAATAAAGGAAAAAATAATCTCCTAGAGGAAGTAAATAAACGTTGAGGTCAAAGAAAAACTACTATTAAATCATCCAATTATTTATAGACATGCTTCTAAGGAAGATCACACTCCGAGGTCAGACTACCAGGGTTCAAAATTTGACTCCACCATTTACTAGTTGTCTAATTATTGGCAAGTCCCTTAATCTTCCTAAGCCTCAGTTTTCTCATCTGCAAGACGTAGATAATAAAAGTAGCTACATCGGGCTTCCCTGGTGGCGCAGTGGTTGAGAGTCCGCCTGCCGATGCAGGGGACACGGGTTCGTGCCCCGGTCTGGGAAGATCCCACATGCCGCGGAGCGGCTGGGCCCGTGAGCCATGGCCGCTGAGCCTGCGCGTCCAGAGCCTGTGCTCCGCAACGGGAGAGGCCACAACAGTGAGTAAGCCCGCATACCGCAAAAAAAAAAAAAAAAAAAAAGTAGCTACATCATAGGGTGATCATGCAGATTAAGTGAGAATATAAGTAAAATGCATAGAAAAACGCCTGGCACAACAGCAAACACCATATAATTATATTATTATTATTTTAAAACAAGAATGGAAACATGGATATGAGAAACACATAATACAATTCTCCAAGTTCTAAAGTTAAGTAGTTTGAGTCTTTCAAAGTAGTCTTGGCCCTGTTCTTCAGTTTCCCTAGACCTTCTCCCTAGACTGCCAATTTTTTCCTAATATCAATTCCCCCATTCTTCCTTTCAGTAACAGAATTCTCTGAGTTTTTGCTAGACACACAGTCTCCAGACTACCTTTCCCAGCGTTTCTTTTTTTTTTTTTTTTTTTTCCCAGCCTTTCTTAAAGCTAGCTGTGGCCATGTGATACACAATGGGACAACGGAATACGAATGAGATGATAAGTGAAATTTCTGGGTCATCTCTTTATAGATGCTTGTCTTGCTAGCTGTGAACTGAAGATGAGAACAATGACCTTGGAAGCCACATACTAAGGACAGCAGAGCTGTCTTCCATCTCTGGACCCCTCACCTCTGTACTGTTAGTTGCAAGAGAAATAAACCTTAAAAAAAAGTGTAGTAAAACATACCTAACACAAAATATACCATTTTAGCCCATTTTTAAGTGTACAATTCAATGGCACCAATTATAATTTACACTGTTGTGCAACCATTACCACTGTTTCCAAGACTTTTCTAACACCCTAAACAGAAACTTGGTAACCATTAAGCAATAATTCCCCAGTCTCCCAGCCCCTGGTATCCACTAATCCTTTCTGAAGAAAAATAACTTTTAGCTTATTTGAGTCACTGTGCTTTTGGTTGACCTTGCACATTTTATTTAACCTGAAGCCTAATACCCACAGAGACTAACAGTAGGAATAGGGTGCTGCTATAACCAAAATGAAAAATGTACAGGAATGGAAGGTGAGGACACAGATGCTGTCAAGCGGGAAGCTGGTAATCCTCATGATATCATGGATAACATTTGTTAAAATTGTTGCTCGTCATAACTTGGAAGGCAGGCCAGTCACCTACTGAGTCTTAGCTCTAGGGTAATTGTTTGGGAAAACTAATAATGTTGGTGTCTGTTTGTTGGTATTTGTTGCTTTTGGAAAGATTGATTACATGAGAGACAGCTCAAGTGAGCTGTCAGTTTGCAAAGATGGAGGGAAAAGAGTTCTGCTAAGAGAGCTTCTGCCTGTGGCCCCTGATGTGGGGCTTCAGGTGACTGGAAAAGGTAATTGCTCTGTTCTCCAGAGACCAGGAGAAAAGACTGCCACTCAGAGTTACTGAACTGTGAAGATTAGTGTGAGGGTGCTGCCTTCTTCCTCAAGCCTACTGTTGCAGGGGGCCCTGAAGCAGACCACATTAAACTGAAGAACAGCAGGATGGACACCATACAGGAGCCCGTATATAAGAAAAGATATGGTGGATTTGAGGACTATGACGAAAAGCGGTATTTGGGTGTTGTTATTTTAACATGAATCTGATTGGAAGCAAACAGATAAGAAAGCGATTAAGTTTCTGAGGGAATTTTATTACCAAAGATATCATTAAGCCTGGCCTACAAAAGCAACCCCCTGGCTTCAAAACTGGCATCAGCAGGAATCTATACCAGCAGCTGCCCAGGATACATGGTCATGGAGGGTAATGGACAAGAAAGAATTCCCTGCAGGCAAAACCAGGGGCCACGGCATACAATTGCTAAAGGAATTCCTGCTAGAAAGGAGACCCAAGTAAGTCCAACGGGCTATCCCAGGAACTTCACCAGAGCTCGGAATCTTCACAATTCCTGCCAAATTGTTTCTGAAAATTGGTAGGGGCTTGCTTTGTTTCCCATTCTTTCCTTTTCCAAATGGGAGTCTTTAGTGTGGTTTTCTGTTCCTATTCTACCACTGGGTACGTGTTGGAGGTGAGCGGGCCAGACAAGTTTTCTAACCTTTCACATGCGGCCAGATCACGAGAAGGTATAACTGGGGAGGACCGTGTGCCACTCACAGATCCTGGTCTTTGAGCTAAAGGCAGTAACTGGTTGGGATCTGACATATGGTGAATGGGTTCTATGTGGGGAAAAAAGGGTGCTCAAGATTACTAGGATAGCCAGAGAGGCAGACTGTGGTGAAGCTGGCTAGTTGACTCTTAGAATTCATTTCTAATTCTTCCTTTTTTTCCTTTTAGTAATAGAATGCCCTCAGCTGAGCAAATGGCTACCAACTGAAGACTATATTTCCCAGTGTCCCCTGCAGCTAGATACAGTTATATGATGGAATTTGGGTCAATGGGATGTGAATAGAGTTGATGGACGTCACTTCCAGGTCTTCTTCTTAAAGATGCTTGCTCTGTGTTTTATTTTCCCTCTTCCCAACAGGCTGGAAAATGGTGACAACTGCCTTAGAAGTCACTTGTTGAGGAGAGAGAGGTATCCCGCCAGCCCTGGACTGTTGACTTGGAAGAAGAATACAACTTTTAGTTTCTTTAATCCATTCTATTTGTATTAGAACAGCTTAGCTTATGGCCATACCAAGCAGGTTGCCAATGAACAAGGAAAAAGGTGTCTTGTAAGTCTGAGGATTTAGGAGGCATAACCTTCACACAAATAGAAATTCACACAGAGGAATCAACCTCTGATTCAACATTGGTAAACAAAGCAAATATTTTTCTTAAAATTTTCCATAAAAACAAAAGAAAGACAAACATTTATAGTACCTCTTTGCATCTTGTATTAAAAGCCATTTCCATCTTCCTTCTGGTTTCAGGGATACAACATTTCTTCATGACAGGAAAGTAGTGTGGATATTTTAAGGTAATTTTATACTTGTCATCATCTGTCTTTTCCAAACTGTCAATGAAATCATCAGGAAGAGCACCTGCAAAAAAATCATTTTCTCATACTTCAATTTTTCCACTCATTATTGGTTTATTTAGCATTGGCATGGTGCCTTTAAGAAGCTCTAGGAATTTTGTGGAGTAACTGAAATTCAAGTAAAATAATGACAATCCTTATAATATCGCTTTGACGTTATTGTAATGGGGGTGGCAGTTAGAGGACAGGTAGCCTGGGAGACGGTAATTCAAAATATGAACAGGCTTCAGTGTGCACTTGTATAGATGGCATTTTGATGAAGAACAGGCAAAATTAAGCCAAGAAAAATCCATCACAGAATAAGGAAAGACTAGTTTAAGTTACAATGTAGAGGACATTGTGGGGCAAAAAAAAATTCAAAGCACTGAAGGCTGTTAAACGCTAGCATGAGTTACCAAGAAAGATTATGAAATTTCTTCTGGACTGTCTCTAGAAACAGTATACATTCTTATAGCCTAAAATCTAGATGTGGTTTGGTTGTGTTTTTTTGTAGAAGGGGTGGTGGGTTCTGTAGAAGGTACATTTTAAAAAGAATTCTTCTAACTTTGATTTGGCAAACTGTGAGATGACATTATTTGCCTAAATTACAGATTTAATCTAAAAAACAACAACACTTTACCAAGTTCAGCCTTGGAAAATTCAAGGAAGGTATCATCCTCATTGAGGTTTTTGTTAAAGTCAATACATAGCTCACTCATTCTTTTCTTCATTGCTTTAATTTCCTGAAACAAAGATACAAATACAGGACCTTAACAATAAAATGAAATTTTCATTTTTATTGCCATCAGTCAAGTAAGTTTCACTTTTATATGAAGACTGGGTTCTGTACCCAACTCTCAGGAAGTACTTTCTTAGAGATGCGCTTGATACCATAGTTTTCTGCAATCTTCTACATTGTGTCCCTGAGTATTTGTATGTAATATGTACAAAAAAGCAATCCTGGTGATGTGTTAGAAATTACGCGTAAATTTGTAAGAACTAAATACATTGAGGAGGTATAGTCAAAGCAAAGTCTGGCATATAGCACATACACAATAAGTAGCTTGCTGAGTGAATAAATGAATCTAGTAGCCTGTTAATAATTAACACTTCTAATCTTTCCAAATTCTAAATTTTAATTTGGTAAATCAGTATTGGGTACTGAAGTAAGCCAAGAGCTAAGAACTGAGTAATTACTTCTATGGTTCCTTTGGAAAACAAGATATGTCTTAGTTTTATAGACCGTTTGCAAATAAAAGCAATTTATGGGCCCTAACATTTACATAAAAAGTACTAGGTAGGAAAAAAAGTATTAGTTGGGAGATCAAAGGAAGCAACAGAAAGAACACCACAAGAAAACACATGAGATAATTTATTAACCTGTCCCACTCTTCTAAAAGTGCTAGATAATAAAACTTACATAAACCACACACTTTCTCAAAGTATGCTTCTGACCAGAAGCATCAACATCACCTGGGAACTTGTTAGAAATGCCCTCTTTCTTTAAAAAAAAAAAAATTTATTTATTTATTTATTTTTGGCTGCGTTGGGTCTTTGTTGCTGTGTGCGGGCTTTCTCTAGTTGCAGCGAGCGGGGGCTACTCTTCATTGCAGGGTGCTGGCTTCTCATTGCGGTGGCTTCTTCTGTTGCGGAGCACGGGCTCTAGGCATGTGGGCTTCAGTAGTTGTGGCACACGCGCTCAGTAGTTGTGGCACGCGGGCTCCAGAGCACAGGCTCAGAAGTTGTGGCGCACGGGCTTAGTTGCTCTGCAGCATGTGGGATCTTCCTGGACCAGGGCTCGAACCCGTGTCCCCTGCATTGGCAGGCTGATTTTTAACCACTGCACCACCCAAGTCCAAAAATGCCAATTTTGAGACCCATACCAAACCTGCTGAAACAAACTCTCAGAGGTGGGGCCCTGTATAATCAGAGCTTTAACAAGCCCTCCAGGTAATTCGTATACACAATAAATTTGAGACTTAACACATACTGTGCAGTGTCATTTTTGGACACTCTGGTCGTGTCCCCAGCTCCCTTCCACTTCTCCCCAACTCTACAGCAGTCATGCAACTTAGGTGGGACTGGATCCTATCTGAAGTCCAGGGTGTGACCTCTACACCAATCAGGTAATCCCATCCTCACTGCAGCAGTGACTGGTTCAGGGAACCCAGGCCTGGCATTCCCCTGACTAAAGAAGGATTCAGGATTAGGCATGTGATCCCATCTGGGCCATTTAGACATGAGGGGAGGTCTAATGGAGGCTTCTCTATGTCCTTCTGGATGGTGGGGTTTTTATATTTGCAGCCATTTTAGTAATAAAAGGAAGCCAGCCTTTGGATAACTAACACTGAAGGAGACAGAGTAGAGAAATAGAAAAATCAGGTGGCCAATGACACCACTGAGCATCTGACTCAAACTAACTCCTGAACCCCAACTACCTCTGGATCTTCCGCTTAGACAAGCAAATAAAATTCTTCTATTGTTTGGACTGTTTCAACAGGGTTGACTAATATAATGTTCATGAAGGCAAAGCGAGATCAGTCACACTTCTCCTGTAACTAGGATGAAGAAGATACAAGGTGTCTGAAGGGCATTTTGGTGGAGGAAAGGTGCCCACATCTCAGTGGTGCTTTCACATGTATCTACCATGCTTACATCACTCGGTTTGAATTTCTTTCCAACTTATTTCCAGTTCTACTGGCAAGAAGAATAACCTGGAAATAAATCATGGGTTATATATCCTGTCCAGAAGAATGAGTTAATTCTGCAGCTGAGTTTACTTCTGAAACTGAGAGATCTGAATGGTATTAGACAAAGGAGAAAGTCTGAAAAGCTAATCTCTCCGCCTTTAAGGAGCATATATCACTCACAGGGTACTCCATTCCAAAATGCTGGTTTGAAAACTCTCCACCATAGGGATTTTATTACCAGTGCCCTATCTCTTTACGAACAAGGGGTAAGAATACAAATCAACTATTAAGATCTGAACTAGCACTAGAGCAGGGAAAATAAGCCTGGCACACATGAAACAAATAAAACCTTGACAGGATTAAAGAACAATTAAGTTATCAGTTGTTTGTCAGTCATCATGAGGTTAATAGGAGTTGTGGAATTTAAAATCGTTGACTACTAAATACGTTGTAAACTGATTTGTATTATGGGTTATATCCCATATTACAAACACGTGTTTCCCTATTTCCTATTTTTTGTTGTATTTTGTTTTATTTATTCTTTTGTTGTCTAATAAGAAAAGGAAACAAACTCACATTTTGTACTTGTTCTGGAAGATGGAGCCCATTCCTTTTCCCCATTTTCACTGATTTTTCCAAGTATCGTCTGGCTTCAGGCTTTATCTTTCCCAGATCACACGTTTCCTGAAATTAAAGAATGTGACAACCTCTTTGATTTCTGTTACAACAGTGCATGGGTAAATTATAAACTATGAGGCCACAGCAAAATTTATTCATCATCTCTGGTGGGCTATGAAGCACATAGGTGATTATGAGGCAGGTCTTTTTGAAAACCTATGTTCTTTTATGCTTTAGTGAGCTTCTGCTTATTTAAAACTGAAAAATTAAATAAATAAAAAGCTAACCAGAATTTCCTTGCTTTGCATCAGAATCAAGCGTGCCTGTACCACTTGAAAATGTGATAATAGGGAACATTTGCATAATCTCATAAAACATTCTTTATGACTGAGTAGTCCTTTTCACAAAACATATTTCTTATCACAAATCATCTGGATTTAATTTTCTATCGTTTGCTAACCTGGTTCCACTTGAGAGGCAAAAATAGAAATAATGGGCAAATTCTACAAAAATGGAGAGGACTCTTTTGCCAACATACTAAACAAGGACAGCTGGATAGAACCCCAGCAAAAGGCTTACAACACTTCAAAAATGCCTTACTGTCATTTGGTAAGAGAGATCAAGGGACCACATCAAGCTGCATATGGACAAGTATCTGGGGAAAATGAGTTAGCACTGCACAAAGAGGAGGAGAGCTGGACAGTACATGTGAACCTACATGTAGCAACACAAACAACACTCACTCAAAAGGACGGAGGGCCCTAAAGGAGAGTGGAAAATTCCCCCGGCCACAGCAAGGTAGTAAACATATCAGATTTTTCCAAGTATCTTCAAAACACGTGGCAGAATATACATGGCATATCTGGGTGGCTGGTTAGTTGTGGTCCTTGGGAGGAAAGGGGCTCCAGACAGATTCAACAGGTGCAAAGGATTCAGTGTGGTTGAGAGCCAACGAGGGACTTCTGTCTCTAGAGCCTTAGAGCCCTCTCAGCCTCAGAGACCTACTCTGGTTGCACTCTCTCCGTGAAAGACTTGGGCTGTTCACCCCAAGCTTTATATTTTCCCACCTAATCAGATCTTTAAAAGGACTGTGCTTAGCTTTAGAGTCTGCATTTTAGACTGCTGGTAAAAGGCTCTTGCTGCAATAGGTCTGTCATTTTTTATATTTTGTTGCAGCAGGTAAACAGAGTTGTATTTTAACTGAGGGTCCTACTTAATACAACAATCTGTATCTCACTTTACCTGCCAATGAATAATTTTGTCATAGTACTAAAGCACTTGTTATGCATATATTACTCACAGCTTCCTCTGAGTTTATTCTCAGTGGGGGCAGAGAACTGTTAGACCCCTTTTTCCATAATAACCCCTTCTTCCATAATAACCCCTTCTGTGCCCTTGGAGAATTTCTGAGCACGCTGGCATGAGTGGAGTGGGAACCCTCCCTAGCTGGTACTGGCACATACTGGGATCCCGGCAGCAGGTGCCTGCAATGGCAAGAAACCCAGAATGGCTAGGGAGATAGCTGGGCTGTGGGCTGATTCCCTCAGAGACGGCCAGCAGTTCAAATCATAGTGTTCATATGGATGTGATTAACGTGGGTTGACTGAGGCTGGCTTTAACAGCACCAGGAAGTCTGTTCTGAGATATGGGGCATGGCAACAGGAGTCCCTAGACAGGATGATACTCCAGGTTGTATGGGGAGAATCTAGGCAGTAGCTATATGCAGTGGAAGAGAGGAAAAAAAAATCACTGGTGAGCAGGGCCCGGCAAGGGTTGGGTACACTGTGAGGACCCAAGTGATCAGGTTGAGGTCCAGAGCAGGGGACCTTCCCACCTGGGCAGTGGGCCAAGGCAGAAGTAAGGCACACAGCTGGACAGCAGCATGGGTTTTTGGGTCCCTGGCATTCACCTGGTCACATGTGGCCCTGAGCTTAGGACAGAGGCTCATCATAATCCTCACCAGCTGATGTAAGCAGAATTCTTACTCTACGCCAATGCTTGATCAGGATGGGCTCTCATACTCAGTGGGCCTGGACTTGCCATATCTGGGAGCAGCAGGGCTGCTACTTCAGAAAGCCTGAAAGTGTACTCGGCACAGTAAACTCAAAACTCTTGGTCTAAATTAGGTAAAACTACCTATCTCCCCAAAGAGGTAATCCAAGTGTAAACAGGTAGAAGGATGTTCTGAGAAAAATCAGCTCTGAATTAGGTCTAATTAAATATGAACAAATTACCTGTACTGAAATATTCGACTTACCACAAAAATGACACTTAGCAAAAATCTGATTCAATTATATCCAGACACCCTTTGCCAGTCAGACTCTGAGGTCTTGGGAAATCTCCGGAGGGCTCTGGTAGGAGTAAAGCATGTCTAAAATGTGCTTCTAAAGCACATTCCTGTGCCAAAGCTGATCATAATAATATTCTCCCTTATAATCTCCAGGCAAGGTCAGAATTCCTGCCCAAGGATTTTCTAAGAGGGAATCAGCCAACACTTCTACACTGCTCTGCCGCAGTTGCATCTTCCTTCCTGAAAAAGAATTTAATCCCCTTGAATCTGAACCAGGTCTCATGCCTCTTTGGGGGAGTAGGGAGCTAAAGTTCTCTGAAGTAATTTTCAAATTTATATAATCTGACAGCAGGGGATCTTATTTTAAACTCTGTGATGACAAGATTTAGTTTTCCCCATCTTCCTCCTATAACTAAGAACTTTTATATAAAAGTGTGAGTGCACACACACACACGTTCTTACATGTATGTTTATATACTAATTTCACAGACAAGAAAACTAAGGTTAAATGATTTCTCCAATATCACACAGCTGTTTAGTGGTAAAAATGGGGATAGAAATAAATTCTTTTATATTTGCAGTGTCTTTCCCTTTTTTTCATTTTGCTTTGACATTTGCTGTCAGGTTTCTTTCTTTTTTTTTTTTTTTGCTATCAGGTTTCTATCCTACTACTGTGAAGAGGATGTTCTTAGGCAGCTGCCTACACTCTGGACAGGAGGGCTGCAGAAAGGCCTCTTGCTGACTCCTAACTCAATACCCTTTCATGAGTCTCTGCTTTTGAGTGGGCCACAGGCAGAGTGAGGACACGGAGAGGGGTACCGCACTGCATGAAGACACATTTTAACTGAGACTAGTTCTGTTCCATTCAACAACCATTTACTGAGCTCCAATTTATGTCAGGCACTAGGAAAACAAAGATGAATATCCTTGAGTCTCTTTAAGTCACATGAAGGGAAAAAAAGATATATCAGCAAATAATGTTAATATCATGTAGTGAGTGAAAAGAGAGTAAGTATTGTACTTGAGAAGCACAAAAGAGGGACAACTGGCTAACGGGGAAACTAAGGCAAGGTAGTTGATGCTTTATATAGGATCCCTTGGCTTTTAAGAGCCTGACAAAGGTACAAGGTTCAGTAGTATTATGACCAATGACTAGACTTACGCATTTCAAAATCAAGAAGGCATGGTAAGTAGAGGGAATTACCACTGCTATGTTGAAATTTGGACAGAGCTTTTCCTCTTCAAAAAAAATTTTTGTTTTTTCTCTTTTTTTTTTTTTAAACCGTGGTTTTAAGGCACTGATTCTTCCACAGCTGGTAGATCACATGCTTAAAAGCATCTATACTTAATCCTGTGACCTATTCATTTACACTGTAACATTAAAACTTTTGTTTAAATTACTAATTGGCTAAGACGAACTGGCAAAGACCAAGTTCCACAGCTCTGAAAAAAATATAAATAATATTACAATAGGTAATTGTAGTTCTCAATTTAGCTTGTATAATTCACTCAATTTCACTAAAGAATCCCTTTCCTGTACTTACTACTCAGTAGGCCACTGGAATAAAATATTACAGGCCTGGATTGTTTCAACATGGAGACATTGTACATTTTTTTATCACCAATGTGGCTTTTTTGATCTTTGCAGGCTTTTTAGCCAATGATCGAGAAGCCTTTGTCAGCCCAGGGAAACACCAAGACTTGAGTCCATACTGCTGGCTTTTGATACCTGGACATGTTTTAGCTAAAGGGATGAGGACATCCTTGTTTTTCACTTTTTTTTTCTTCTAGAAAATTCAGAATTAATTTTAGAATTAAGGATACATTAAATGTTATATGTTTTTGTAATATTTGAAATCTACAAATGACTATAACTACATATATATGTTTTGAAAACAAATTAAATCCACCCTTAAACTTATGAAATACAATATTAAAACACTATTGCCTTTATCTATGTAACAGGTAACCACTCTCTTGAATTTTGTGTTACACATTTTCTTCCAGTATTACCACTTACGTATACATTGTTTAGTTTTGCTCCTTTTTGGCCTTTTTATTATTTTTTTATTTTTATTAGTACAAACCTTTTATTTTTAAATGATATCATGTTGTATGCACTGTTCTGCAATTTCTTTTTTCTTTCGTTGTTCCTAAGATTCAGCCATGCTGTTGCATGTTGCTGTAGTTTATTTCCTTCACTGCTATAAAACATCCCATTGTAAATCTACTACAATTTATTGCTCCATTTTCCTGTTGATGGAAATCTGAGTTGTTTCAGTGTCTTGCTATTATACATAATGTTGTTACGAATACATGTCCCATGTCACCTGTGAACAAATGCAAACCTATTTCTAGGTAAATGCTGAGGTGGGGGTGGGGAGGGTATGCTAAGTTATGGAGAATGTAAGATCCAACTTCATAATATTAGATTTTTCTCCGAATTAGTTATTATTATTATTTAAAAAATAATTTTACACCTTTACTAGCAGTGCACAAATATTCCCATTGATTCACATCCACACAGATACTTGGCATTGTCAGACTTGTTCATTTTTGCCAATCTGGTGAGTGAAAAATGGTATCTTATTGCAGTCATTATTTGAACTTCCCTGACTTAATGAGGTTAAACATCTTTTCATATGTTTAACTGCCATTTGTGTTTCATCTGAAATACCTTTCATGTCATCTGCCCATTTTTCTATTGGGATGTTCGTCTTTTTTACTGATTACAGTAGCTCTTTATAAATCCTAGGTATTAATGCTTTGCTAGTTTCATTTTTTTTTTTTTTTTTCAGTACGCGGGCCTCTCACTGCTGTGGCCTCTCCCGTTGTGGAGCACAGGCTCCGGACGTGCAGGCTCAGCGGCCATGGCTCATGGGCCCAGCTGTTCCGCAGCATGTGGGATCTTCCCGGACCGGGGCACAAACCCGTGTCCCCTGTATCGGCAGGCGGACTCTCAACCACTGTGCCACCAGGGAAGCCCTAGTTTCATATTTTGTAAATTTCTTTTTTTTTTAGTATTTGAGTATTTTTTTTGTATTAGTGCCTTTTCACTTTATTAATTAAAGTTCTTTATTTTAATGTAGTCATGTTTATCAGCCTTATATTTTATAGTTAGCACTTTTGGTGTCTTAAGAAATACTTCCCTGATCAGATATCATAAAGGTATATTTCTATATAAACTTCCAGAAGCTTTAAAGTTTAACTTTTTAACACTTTAATCCATTAGGGATTGTTTTTCATTTAGTTGTGAAGAGCAATCCAGTATTTTTTACCCCACATGGATAACCCTTGTCCTTGCATCAATTACTGAAGGCCTATTTTTTGGATCTGTCACTGTTTCTCACTCTAGTTTGAAGAACATTTATTAAGTGTTTACTGTACTTTGTACCAGGCACTCTGCCAGAGATGCAAAATAGAATCAAATGCGACACGTCCCTCCCTTGAGGGTTTTAGTGTAAAGTCTACATGATTTCTGGCAAACATTTACCAGCCACTTCTATGGCTCCTGGAAAGTTACCATTTCTGAGCCTCAGTTTCTCTACTAATAAAGAGGGATACTTCACAAGATTGGTATAAAAGTTAACTTAGATAACTATATTGCTATACAAATGTAAAGTAGTATTACTAGCCACACTTGGGAAGGAGGTAGGAAGACTACAGCACACTGGTTAGTCTCATGCTCTACTATGATTTCATCTATCCATTTAGTCAACAAATTGCTTATTTTAAAGGTTTTGAAACATGACTGCAAATCAGATGATACTTCCTAGACTGTGATGTGGTGGCCCTTGAATCCGGGTAGATCGTAGCGACTAGTCCATCAGTATGGTATTGCAGAAGTGATGCTACATGACTTCTGAGACAGGTCATAAAATGCAATGCAGCTTCTGTGTAGTTTATTGTAACATCCGCGTTGAAGCCCTCTGTCTCCATGAAAGAAGTCCTACCACCCTGACGCTGTCATGCTGTGAGGAAGTCCAAATTAGCCTACATAAAGACACTACATGGAGGTGCCCTAGGGGGACATGAAGACAGAGATAACTGGTTAGCCTCTACATGCTCCAGCTCCAGCCACCACTGCCTGAAACCACATGCAAGGCCCCAGAGTTGCCCAACTAATACCTTCCTGAATTCCTGATCCACAGAAACTATGAGAGAACATAAAATGATTGTTGCTATGTTCAGCCACTAAGCTTTAGAGTTACATATTGTACATCAACAGATAAATAGGATGTTTACTGAGCACAGATTTTGCATAAAGAACTGTGGCAAAAGTAATTTCACATTTCTATTCATCAATATTAAGTGAAAAATAACATAAGAGCTAAAATAACATTTTATCTCTAATTAAGATAATACATTTGATTATTGCCTACATTGGTGGTATCTTGAGACCTCCATATTATTCAGAGCACCCTCATTTTAGGAGAGCATGCCTGAAATTGATGACTCTACATAAATTTAAAATCCTATTACCCAGCCTAAGGAAGGCTTCATGTATTATATCATGGTAGCCCTATTTTATTTACAGTGTTACAGGAAAAATTAAATACAGGATTTAGATATATCTAACTTTGTCCTTTAGTTATGAATGGGATGAGATTTACCATCTATTAAAGTGGCCAACTCTAGCAGAAAACTGATTCTGATAGTTCTAGATTTTAAAAAATACTGACTAAAAAATGTAACTATTTCTCAAGGAAGGTATTTAAATTCACCAAATAAGCTCCAATTCATAAACAAACACAATAGTTATTTTTAAAATTATTCTGATGTAGCCTTAACATTCTAAATGCCCCTGAAATTGTTCACACAATAATCCACATGTATGAGAATAAACTCCTGTGGAAAGAGGAAACATTATGGAACTAAATCTGAAACAATTACAAATTAATATAATAAAACACTGAAGTGAACCAGCTCAAGTCAATGAACAAATCTGATACATGCACTGGTGTTTATGAGGTCACTTACAGTGTACTAGGCTGCTGTCTCGTCTACTACACAGGCAGCAATTTGTTCCCAAATTTAGTGGGATCAGAGGCCAATACATACAATATTTAAAAGTTTAACAAAGAAATCTAAAGTGACAAATCTCCCATATCTTGATAACATTTGTAAGAATCAGAAACAGTGGAAAAGTAACAAAAACATTAGACTCAATAACATTAAGATTGCAATACCTTTTTGAGGCTAGAAAATCCCAAATGAGAACTTAGAAGTCAGGATGAAAAAAGAATTAATCAAAGGAAATTAGAAATGTGGGGGAAAAGCTCTACAGTACATATATAATGTCCAGATAGAAAAGAAATTAGATTGTTTTGGGATTAAATAAAAATAGGAGACTATAAGGGCCATGATTTGAATTGTACAGAATAACAAGTGAAGCTAAAAGTTGAAAAGAGAATAATTTAACTAGCAAAAAATAGTCATAGTTATTTTAATTTGTTATTTTTACAGTGCCAAAGATGAACAATTATGAACCATCATAGATGAACATAAATTAAGGGTGAAAAATGTTTGTCTTACATTAGAAAATAGGCAGCATGTACGTCTTACATGCCTAAATAAATTCTGGATTACATATTCTACAGTGAGTTACAAATAAAACATTTGAAATAAAACTGCTTTTTATTTCAATTCCTGTCATAACTTGCTAAAAAGAACACAAATTTTGAGATTTTGCATATACAACGTGCAAAATTAAACAAAAATGCCTAGGATTGTAAAACACTGGTTGTTTTCCAAACTAATTGCTGAGTTCCATGAAAATAAAAATTCAAAGCAAAGACATGATGAAAATGCTAGGAAGCAAACCAACATCGTTGATGAAAAGACCTGAAATACTCAAGGCAGACCCACTTAGAGCTTTCTTAATCCATAATTTCTGTGAGTCCTGAAAAATGTAAGGATGACAGATAGGAATGTCTCTGGCATGCAGCATCAACAGTATGTCATCATTATTGTGGCCAAAACCACATGATATTTATAGATAACTCAACTCCATTCGTTTCTAGTTGATCTGATCTAATACAAACCTTGCAAAATTTTGAAAATTCAAAGAGGTTTTTACATCAAACCATTAAGTTCATGATGGCTAAAAAGCCTTAGATTTATGGATGTACACTCTTTTAATACTTGGTCTTAAAAATTTTAAGTGAATGTAATTAGTAACTTAAAATAAACCTAAGTGATATAACACTATGTTGTGCCCACTATCATAATAATTAGAAACAAAATCTAGGAACATTCAAATACTTTTTATCATTGGTCAAAGGTTTTTACTTATTTATTGTCAGTTTTTTTTTTCCTTTTAAAGGGAATTATAAGATCATTTACCTTTAAATGAACAATTCTCAGAAAGATATCTTCTCTCATGCTCATCTCGATATCAAAACGAGAAAGTCTTTTGTCTGCTTCTGTACTTGCTGCTCGTACTTCTTTGTCAGAGGAGACGTGCTGGGGAAAGTCTAGCATGGTTCGTTCCACTGTTAACAGAGGAAAAAACCATAAGGACTCATTAAGTCAGTATTAAGCAAAATACCTTGTACCTAGATGAATGATTATCCGAATATAAGTTTTTCATCACATACTTTCCATATAGGCTCCTAGGGCTATCAAGAAACAGCATCTAACACAGGACTTGGCTATTCCTGGGGCATTGTTAGGAACAATAAGGGTGTACAATGAGTACTTACCAAAGGATGTTTAGTGTGCAATTTATTCACTGGGAATGTAGGAAAAAAAAGATGTAGTCCTTTTTAAAAAAATTTTTATTGGAGTATAGTTGATTTACAATGTTGTGTTAGTTTCAGGTGTACAGCAAAGTGAATCAGTTACACATGTACATATATCCACTCTTTTTTAGATTCTTTTCCCATATAGGCCATTACAGAGTACTGAGTAGCATTCCCTGTGCTATACAGTAGGCTCTTATTAGTTATCTATTTTATATATAGTAGGGTGTATATGTAAATCCCAATCTCCCAATTTAAAAGATGTAGTTCTTGGGGACTTCCCTGGCGGTCCAGTGGTTGAGACTCTGTGCCTCTATGGCCGGGGGTACGGGTTCGATCCCTGGTCAGGGAACTAAGATCCTGAATGCTGAGCGGTGTGGCCAAAAATAAAGAAAAGAAAAGATGTATTGATAGTTCTTATACTGAGGCATTTTATAGTCTGGGAGTCGGGGGTAGGGAACAATACATGAAAAGATAACAATACAGGACAGAGCAGCTTAGCTGTCAAATGAATGGGACAGAAATTCAAAGTCTGCAATACCGAGGGCTGGGGCATTATGCCATGCCTTGTGGAGAAGGCTGGATCTTAGAGGATGGGCGGGGTGAGAGGAAGAGCTCAGTTGAGGACTGGAGAAGTAGAGACTGAAAGCATGGGGACTGGCAAACAAACAGGATGTTTAAGAAACAAGTAGGCCTATTTAGTGGGATGGGGCTTGTTTAGAAAAGAAGTTCTTAACCTTTATGACAGACTCCTTAGCAAATCTAATCCAAGTCATGGACCCTCCCCCAAATGCAAACATTCATACAAATATAAAAAGCTGCATACAATTTCAGAATTCTCAGAAATCTCAGTGGACATATTCAGTAAGCAGCTGAATACTGGGGCTATTCTTGTTAAATGATGGTAGTAATGTCATCTGCTCTTATTTTCACATATCAAAGTTGGTTGTTGGGTTTTTCAAACATTTGCATTTTGACTTTAATTAGGCAAAAATCTGATGTCAGTGAAATAATCCATACTACAGCAAAAAAAAAAAAAAAATCAGTATGGTTTATAACCATAGTTGTGGTTATGCTGTGACAATGAATATATTTTAATTTTCCTATCTTTAGCACTTTGAAGGTATTATAAATAGGTAACATTTACACATGTGATATATGGTAGACAGTAAAGCTATCCTTTACATACCACGGAATTGTCCAGTTAAACAAGCTACCTTATGCATATCAGTCCTCTTAAAACATTGTCACAAAGAAAGCTGTAAAAAAATTGCCACAAATCAATAAATTCATAGTGTCTGTTTTAAAAAAATCAAATTAGATAATTATTATTTTAGATTTAATATATCATTTTTGTCCCTTGATTAAAGAAAGAAAAGAATGTAAGATTTAACATTTAATACATACAGCACTTGTTTAAGTGAGTTAACTAGATAGTCACAATTTCTGTTTACTTTTAAAAATTAGCTCAAAAAGATATTAAGAAGGAATCAAAATTGCTCAAGAACTTAAATGAGCAGAACAAAATGCAGGAGTCTAAAACTGGAAACATATTCTTAAACAAACAATAATATTGAAAACCATTTCCTTCCTTACTTTGCCACAAAGACCTGGAACCAGACTTATGTTCTCACTGCCAAACTATAAACAATGTTGATGCCCGGTACCTGACACTGGACAAATGGGGTTTTAACAGCTACTGCAGGAGGCTGAGAACATACACAGATAAGAGAAAGTTAGTCTTTAAAACTCTAATCCGAAACTCAAACATTTTTATGATTAACCCATAAAGATAAATTTACAGGAGAGGAAGAAAAAATACCACAAAACTAAAGGTATATTTAAAAGATGTATGACTGGAAGAAAAAACAGAATTTAAGATAATTCTGTTTTAAAGATTTTTTCCCCACCTATTTTTACATTTGCTAAATGCATAAGCTACTAGGCTGGCACACCGTCTTAGTCATAAGTGACTGAAGAAGTGAGTATGTGAACCAAGGACAAACCACATACAGGGTGGGAGATGCACACGAAACTGCCTGCTGGGAAAGCTCTGCTGAATGGGGACCACCTCCATTCCTTTGACTTTAACTACAAGACCAACCAGACTTTTTTTACTGAAGAGTTTAAGCTCAAGGCTTGTAGCAAGATTTAGTGGCTATTAATGAGAGTGAAGCAGTTGGTATTAAGAGGCAGAAACTGAAACAGAAATGCAGAGGGAAGAGAAAGTAGCCAAGTCCCTATATGGTGGGACATAGGGTAGGGAACTCTTGGTGGGGAAGAGATGACTAGGTCACTAGGGCTGTGCAGGATTTTGGACAACCTTCCAAATTCCAGAATCCATACAAATGCTTATGATAATTCAGTTCTACAGACAACCTATGTTCTTATGATGCTTGGCTACACAGCCAATGTTGTTTAGCCATAATTATCCTACAAAATATATCCAGTTCTTTGAGAAAACTGGCATGAATCTTCATTCCTTACAACTCAAAGGGTTTAATACTTATATTATTAAAATAATATATTTTAAGTGTAGGAAATACGGAAAATAGAGAAAAGCATGAAGAGTAAATGAAAAATCAACTATAAACCTGAAAAAACAATGAATGGTTGCTTCCAAATAACACACTGTTCTTTGAGAAAGATCACTTAAAATATCAAATTTATCTTAGCTCCATTATCAATTGTTCTGAAAGTCTCCTTTGGATCATTTATCTTTGTGATCACTGTCTTAATCCATATATTAGCATTTAGACAGGTGGGACAGATGGACAATATCTTAAAAAGAAATACAAATGTATAAAAATGTACCCATTATATCCCTACTGAAATATTAATGATAAAGAAACTAAATTTAATGTGTTCATTTTTATAATAACTTTAAAGAATTCATGTTTAACTAAAAGTGATCTACAAATCACAGAAAGACTATAAACCTAGTACCAAAAATATTGGCCATTATTAAAATTTGTTTTCTTTCTCTGTCCTTTTAATGTTATTAAATACGTCTCTTAAACATGATTTTAATGGCTACATAATGTTACAGAGGGTGAATGTACCATAATTTATTTAGCTATTCTACTTGTTGACACTTAGGGGTTGTTTCCAAGCTTTTGCTATGATAGAGTACCTGTTTATACATAAGTTTATACATGATTTTTCCTATAACTGATTATTTCTTTAGATTATGCCTAGATGTGGAATTAATTACGGGGCTAGGGTATGAACTTCTCAAAAGTTTTGATATATATTGCTCTCCAGAAAGCAGTTGTAATGAGACTGTACATTTTACAGCACCTCTGCCACATAATAAAAATTTTTAACTCAGGTAATATAAATAATTCTAAGCAATTATGAATCATTAATCATTTAAGCAATTACAAATCATTATGCAAAAATCAATGTCTTGTAAAATGAATTGCCAAGACAGGAAGCATAAAATGGGTTATGATGCCCACAAAATGAAATATTGATGTGCTTTTGCATCCTACCCACCTATATACTTCACTTCTACATCTGCCAGTGCCTGCAAACAGTTCGCGTAAGTTACTTCCTCAATGTCAAGCATCGCAATATTATCGTACACCTGTTTGGTCTGTGCAATGAGCTCCTCAGTTCTTGTTTTAATTTGCTCTGGTGAAAGATCCCATCTTAAAACATTTCTGCCAGCTGCAGTATAGGAAGACATTGCCTGAAGAGGAGACATCATTTCTTTTCCTAAAGTCATTCTGAATAAAATCCTGGAACCACCAATTCTACGAAGAATCAGAAAAAAGATAAAAATTAGGCATTTTGTTGGTCCAAAGTCAACACACAAATGTGTATTATCTAATTAAATTTTAAAGGAAAAAGAACTTTTTACTAAAATTGAGCAAATTTCTTTCAGGTGAATACATATGCACAAAACTAAATGCTCTTTACTTCCTTGTTTTCTTGAATAGTTACAGAGTTAATGGAATTTGGACTTTCCAAACACTGAATTGCTTATGTAATTAAATCATATAGAGAAATAAAGTTAGGTGTCAAAGACATAATAACTGTCCTTTATAAATTAAACCAGTAATCTTTCTTACTTAAACATTTTTCCTGTGCTAATATCCACCTACTATGTATGTAGAATCAATATTTTGATATTCAGCAAGGAAACATTTTCAAAATTCTTTCTATATTGAACAACAATTTAAAAAATGTTTTACCAAAATTTCATGTAAATCAACTATGGCAATTTGAATTTAAGACTTAAAAAATAAAATCTGGTATAGCTATGGTATTATCCTAAAAGATAAAGGAATGATACCAACCCTTTACCCACTTAAAACACTGAAACTAAAAACTGATGCCATATGTGTGTATATATATTTATAATATATAATTCTAGAACTTATAGATAAAAATATTATAATTAATAGCTACCATTTATTGTGTTTAGGTACTGTATTAATTACTTTCCATTTATTAACTCAGTCCCTACAACAATACTATGAGACAGATACTGTGGTTGTTTCCATTTAGCCAAAGTAACTAAAACACAGAGAAGTAACTTGCCCAAGGTCACACAGCTGCCTACATGGTGGGAACTAGGATTAAAAACCAGGTAGTACAGATCCAGAACCCACTCTCTTAACCACAATACTAAACTTAATTCCTATTATCTTACAAGATCCCAAAACAACCATAGGCAGGACAATATTCCCTTTTAACAGATGATGCAGTTGAGACTCAGAGAGGCTAAGTGACTTGTTTAATGTCATTTGTTCAACAGATATTTATGAGCATGCACTGTGTCTGGTCATTGTGACAGGCACGAAGGATAAAAAGGCAAATTGACTGGGACCCTGCTATTTATATCATGGAGAAGACTAATTGATAAATGGGTAATTGTACTGCATTGAGATGAGTGCCAACAGGGAGAACTCTGAAAGAGCACAGAAGGAGCTTTTCCAGAAAGATTTTCTAGAAGGAACAGTGAGCAAGCCAAGATCTGAACAATGTGCAGAAATTATCCAAAGGTCAAAGGTTTTAAGGAAAGAAAAATCTGAAAAAGTTAAGTAGGGACTAGAGAATGAAGAGCCTTGGGAATCATTTGAGTTCAAACCTACTCTGAAGGCAATGACAGAGCCACTGAAGGGTTTTAATCAGGTGAGAGATGAGAAAAGACATGCATTTTAAAGAAATCACTCAAATTATAGTGAGTTGAAATGTTTAGAAAAGAGAGATCATTCCCAGAGAGAAGCTATAGTGGTAACTGGGGCATAATATTATGGTATACTTAACTAGGAAATAGGGGGAATTGGAGTGATTTAGTAGATATTCACTAAGAAGAATCAATATGACTTGGTATTGAATGGATGTCGGGAGGAGGTGAGATACTCAAGGATGACGTCCAGGCTTCTGTCTTGGAATTGGAGGGATGGACAGAGGCTCTGTCGCTAAAACAGGGGACTCAGATGAAGGAGGAAGCTCTCTGGTGGGACAAAGGGAAATTCAGTTTTGGACGTGCCAAGTCTGAAGCGGCTGTAGCACACATAAGTGGAATTCATTACTAGTAAATGTAATTGGAGGAGACTTCCCTGGTGGTCCAGTGGTTAAGAATCGGTCTTGCAATGCAGGGGACGCCGGTTCAATCCCCAGTTGGGGAACTAAGATCCCAGATGCCGTGGGGCAACTAAGCCCGCGCGGCACTACACAGAGCCCGTGTGCTGCAACTAAGACCTGACACAACCAAAAAAAAAAAAAAGATAGATATTAAAAAAAAATGTAATTGGAGTTACATGGGTGGTTGAACTAGCCCAAGGGAATTTGCAGAGTGAGAACAGAAGAACAACAGAGCTCTAACTCTAGTTTAAGCATTGAGGTAGAAAGAAAACCAAGTAGGTTGGGTTCTAGGAATTGTGAAAAGTAAGCACTGAAAAAGGGAGTGAATAACAGTATGAAATGTACAAATCTCAAGAAAGACACAAGAGTCTCTGTTGAATTCAGCAACAGGAACGTCATTGATGACTGGCAAGAGCAGTGTTAGGGGGGTGGCAGAAGTGCAAGTCAGATTACTATGATCGAGGGCTATGGAGATGGTAAAGAAAAGGAGAGAGTGCACCTCAGCAACTCTCCATAGAGCTGGCTGTGAAAACAAGGAGAGCTAACGCAGTATAAGGGGCTGAGACATACAAGGGTGCATTTTTAACATAGGAGAAGCCAGAATACTGACCCCCTTTAACTGTCTCTCTACAATAACTGATACTGTCTATGTGAAACATACTGGTTGATGGTTACACTCAAGGCTGGCAGATTATTTTCCAATGTATTTCCACATTTCTCCTTCAACCAGTTGAGTTATATACTCACCAAGAGTCAAGTTTAATTGCTCCAAAACCTGTTTATGCTTACTATACTCATTTCCTTTTAATTATTTTATTTTATATCAATTTTTTATTGGAGTATAATTGCTTTACAATGTTGTGTTAGTTTCTGCTGTACAATGAAATGAATCAGCTATATGTATACCTGTATCCCCTCCCTCTTGAACCTCCCTCCCCACCCCCATCCCACCCATCTAGGTCATCACAGATCACTGAGCTGAGCTCCCTGTGCTATACAGCAGGTTCCCACTAGCTAGCTATTTTACACATGGTAGTGTATTTATGTCAAACCTAATCTCCCAATTCATCCCACCCTACTCTTCCCCCCGTGTCCACATGTCTGTTCTCTATGTCTGTGTTTCTACTCCTGCCCTGCAAATAGGTTCATCCATCTGTAGCATTTTTCTAGATTCCACATATATGCATTAATATACAATATTTGTTTTTCTGACATTTCACTATGTAAGACAAACTCATCCCTACATTCGCAGAGATGTGGATGTAGGTCCATCCACATCTCTACGAATGACCCAATTTCACTCCTTTTTATGGCTAAGTAATATTCCATTATATATATGTACCACATCTTCTTTATCCACTCATCTGTTGATGGACATTTAGGTTGTTTCCATGTCCTGGCTATTGTAAATAGTGCTGCAGTGAACATTGGGTACATGTGTCCTTTTGAATTATGGTTTTCTCAGGGTGTATGGCCAGTAGTGGGATTGCTGAGTCATATGGTAGTTCTATTTTTAGTTTTTTAAGGAACCTCCATACTGTTCTCCACAGTGGCTGTATCAATTTACATTCCCACCAATAATGCAAGAGGATTCCTTTTTCTCCACACCCTCTGCAGCATTTATTTTTTGTAGATTTTTTGATGAAGGCCATTCTGACCAGTGTGAGGTGTAGTTTTGATCTGCATTTCTCTAATAATTAGTGATGTTGTGCAGCTTTTCATGTGCCTCTTGGCCATCTGTATGTCTCCTTTCGTGAAATGTCTATTTAGGTCTTCTGCCCATTTTTTGTTTGGGTTGTTTTTTTGGTATTGAGCTGCATGAGTTGTTTGTATATTTTGGAGATTAATCCTTTGTCCGTTGATTAGTTTGCAAATATTTTCTCCCATTCTGAGGGTTCTCTTTTTGTCTTGTTTATAGTTTCCTTTGCTGTGCAAAAGTCATTAGGTCCCATTTGCTTATTTTTGTTTTTATTTTCATTACTCTAGGAGGTGGTTCATAAAAGATCTTGCTGAGATTTATGTCAAAGAATGTTTTTCCCATGTTTTCCTCTAAGAGTTTTACATTTAGGTCTTGAATCCATTCTGAGTTTATTTTTGTGTATGGTGTTAGGGAGTGCTCTAATTTCATTCTTTTACATGCAGCTGTCCAGTTTTCCCAGCACCACTTATTGAAGAGGCTTTCTTTTCTCCATTGTATGTTCTTGCCTCCTTTGTTATCGATTAGGTGACCATAGGTGCGTGGGTTTATCTCTGGGTTTTCTATCCTATACCATGGATCTATATTTCTGTTTTTGTACCAGTACCCTACTGCCTTGATTACTGTAGCTTTGTAGTATAGTCTGAAGTCCAGGAGCCTGATTCCTCCAGCTCCATTTTTCTTTCTCAAGATTGCTTTCGCTATTAGGGGTATTTTTTGTTTCCATACAATTGTAAAATTTTTTGTTTTAATTCTGTGAAAAATGCCATTGGTAATTTGATAGGGATTGCACTGAACCTGTAGATTCCTTTGGGTAGTATAGTCATTTTCACAATATTGATTCTTCCATCCAGGAACATGGCATATCTCTCCATCTGTTTGTCATCTTTGATTTCTTTCTCAGTGTTTTATAGTTTTCTGAGTACAGGTCTTTTGCCTCCTTAGGTATTATTCCTACCTAAGGTATTTTATTTATTCCTCCTTAGGTATTTTATTCTTTTTGTTGAAATGGTAAATGGGATTGTTTCCTTAATTTCTCTTTCTGATCTTTTGTTTTTAGTGTATAGGAATGCAAGAGATTTCTGTTTGTTAATTTTGTATCCTGCAACCTTACCAACTTCATTGGTTAGCTCTATTAGTTTTCTAGTGGCATCCTTAAAATTTTCTATGTACAGTATCATGTCATCTGCAAACAGTGACAGTTTTACTTCTTCTTTTCCAATTTGTATTCCTTTTATTTCTTTTTCTGCTCTGATTGCCATGGATAGGACTTCCAAAACTATGTTGAATAACAGTGGTGAGAATGGACATCCTTGTTTTGATGTTCCTGATCTTAGAGGAAATGCTTTGAGTTTTTCACCATTGAGAATGATGTTTGCTGTGGGTTTGTCATACATGGCCTTTATTATGCTGAGGTAGATTTCCTCTACGCCCACTTTCTGGAGAGTCTTTTTATCATAAATG